TAGTTTAAAAAAAAAAAAAAAAAAAAAAAAAAAACAGCTCATATTTGGAACAAGTAAAAAAATGACAACTTCTAATGTTGTGGAGATTGGCAGCAACCTGAAATTAAGAATTGAAAATCTAGCTTCTAATGTTTCCCTAATCAACAGCAAAGTTCCTTCCTTTCTCCCATTTGGTTCTTTTTGTTCTTCATTTATTTATTTTTTATTTGGTTTTATTATCATTATCATTATGGAATATTTCACATATTCTACATTGATTTTGTTATATTCATTTTATATAAATTAAATAATTAAAAAAAAAAAACAAAAATACCTACATGTGATTTTGTTTTCTAATTGGATTATTAGAAATAAAATGAAATCTTAGATTCAAATTTGAACCTAACAAGATTTGATTTAATCTAATTTTTAATAATATTATTTAAAAAATAAAAAAGAAAAATTAAATATTGAATTATGTTTAATCCCCTACAATATCTTATAAATATATTAAGTAAATGTTAATATATATATATATATAATGCTTTTGTATTTTCGATGTTTTTTTTTTTTACACATAATTGAGCATAAAGTGGTTATGACTTTGCTTTGGGGTTTCAAAAAGTCTCGTACTAATGGAGTTAGTATTTCTCAATTATAAATCTATGATTATTCTCTAGATGAGAAGACGTGGGACTTTCATCAGAAAATGATTAGAAATTAATTTTAGAGGCTAAGAAATTAAAAAAAAAAGGAAAAAAAAAAAGGGGTGGTGGCGGTAGGGATTATATTAATAGCGTTCAACGGCCATAAGTCCCCACTGCGTACGTGTTAAGCGAGCGGAGTGTTTTGTACGAACACGTTTTCATAAACCAAACAGAGGATCCCCAGAGCCAAGACAAGTCCATGGGGTTTTCGCAGAAAAGAAACACCGCAATCTTTGTCCTTTTACACTTCCAAATCTAAATAAAACTTTCCCATTTTCTTCAATCTCCATCTTCAATGAATTGTTGGTAAGATATCCATTTTCTTCTGGGGCCTCTTTCCTCTCTAAGCATTTATAATCTCATCCTTCGTTTCTGCCTACAACCTGTTTGAAGAAATGTCTGTGAGGCACTACGTTGCGATCCACCGCCATTTGGCATACCATTTTGACCATTAATAATATCTTATTCTCTTTTATTTTATTTTGATATGCTTTGTTTCATCTGTCACGTCCCTCCTCCATCCCCTACTTCAATGCTGCTTGCCCAATTCCTTGCTTACTTAGCTGTTTGGTTCATCACCGTCCTTTTGATTCTGTGCCCATTATGTTTTCTTATTCTATTTCCCATTTTTATTCATTGTTTTCTGGGCATTGCCTGCATTGGGTTTCTCCCCATTGTCATCTTTTGTTATATAATTTTAGCAAACATCTGCCAGGTCCTTGCGTTTTGGTGTTACTCTGTGGAACAAATGCTTTTATCTAATATTTTACTGAGTTTTGAACGTTGTCATTTTTTTAAAAAATTCAAATTTTGTTCTATTATATTGATCTTGTCTCTTCAATTTATTAATCAGGTGTATGATTGAGCTGGTTCATATTATTTTTTAGCCAAAAATCCATGCAATCACTAGCAAGACATATGGTTATGAATGAAAAATATTTCCTTCTTCATTGGGAGTTTTATTTACTAGACTGTAACCAAATGTTTGTGAATGAAAAACATGTAAAAGAACATTGGAAAGTCATTTAAACCAATTCTTAGTTTGGAAAAAACAGAGTCAATTTAGAATTTAGTTGATTTTCAGATTACTTTTTACCTCCACCTCCGTTTTGTCATCTTTCGTTTTCAGTCAGCTTCTATTTTCTTGTTTTTTTTCCCTTTAATATTTATTCTTACCTGTTACAGAGCTGTGAAGGAACTTATAAACACCCATTTGTTAAAAAAACCTATACAATTCGAAGATATTAAAATGGAATATTTATTTCATGAAATTTGTTGTTTGTCTGACAACTAGAGAACTTCTTTCCATTTGAGAAAAAAAAGAAAAAGAAATGTATTGTTTGTGATGAAGTGTATCAATGATTAGGACTCCTAAATTATGACTGTGATGCTTAATAATCAAATTAAACAATTGTGTGATCCAAGAAGCTCCACACCACAACAGGCAAACCGAAAGGGGGATGAGTCAAGCCTTTAAGCCAATAATGGTAGATTATATTGTATATGATTTGATTTTGTATCCCATTTTGTTTTCCAGCCAAACCAGCCAGGCTGGCTTGGCGTTTGCCAACAGAGACTATGAGCTCGTGCATTGGGACTCATGAAAATGGGGTTTTGTTTTTTGTTTTTGTTTTTGTGTATCAGAGAAGGGTCTCGTAACTCCAACCAACTACATGATTGATTGATTGTCTGCTCTGCTTTTCTTTCTTCACAAAAAAGAAAATGAAAGGATATTCTTGTGTAGACTGCATGCAATAACATGAGTGAATATATATATATATATATATATATATATATATATATATATATATATATATATATATATATATATAAGTAGAGAGGAGAAGCATGTTAGTGTCCTTTTCCTTCACATTTCATTAATCATTATTCTGTTTGTAATTTTTTGCAGAGTTTTGGCAATTTCCATGCACGATATGCCAATTGGGTTTCTTCTGCTATGTCCCATTCTCATATATTAAAGTGGCAACTTGGCACTATCTTCTCTGGCTGCTGTAATGGTGTAAAGCTGGGGGGAAATATCCAGCTCACATGCTCAAATCTTACTGCCCAACACACTTACTCAGAAGTGACAACAAACATCTGGTTAGAACATTTCCTTCTCTCTTCAATTCAATTCAAACTACTCTGATTTTTTGTTAGGAGGTTTCGTTATGATTTTTACCTTGGTGGAATTGGTTTATGCTGAAATAGTTGAATATTTATCCCTCAATTCGTGGAATATTTATGAAGAGGTGGATTTTAACATCAAGCTAGATAGATCTTCGAACTTATTATATTTTTCATTAGATTTTTCAACATCCACAAAAAAGATCTATACTCCAAAACACAAAACTCTATATGTTGTTACTGTTAAGAATCACGAGTGTCCAAAATAGTATGATATTGTCTACTTTAAATACAAGTTCTCATGGTTTTGCTGCTTTGAGTTTCTTCAAAGAGCCTTGTACCCATGGAGATGTATTATTCACTTATAAACTTATGATCATTCCTTAAATTAGTCAATCTGGAACCCCCTTCCAATAATCATCGGCAGTTAGTTGATGCCATACTAGATCAATAGTCAGCTTAATTTTATTTTATGTGCCGAGTCTTCAATAAGAATTGAAAATTATCCTTTTTAACGTGAAGGACCCAAAATTTTAAATAGTGACATGTAATTTGCATAGGTCAGGATGAGTTGGAAAGCAGTGGGATTATTTAACACATTAGAATGAGTGTGAAAGCAGCTGAGTAGGGTGAGTTTGTGAGCCATGTTTTTTATATAAGATTGACAACTGTTTGGTAGTCCTCCCCATGCTTCGGCCTCACACGCTCCATGAGGCCTGAGGGGTAGCTGTTCCAAGACCTTGGGAATTGAATTGCAAGTTTCTATTTTGTATGTAGCTCCTCGGAAACTCACTCTTCTTTTTTTTTCTTTTGCTGTTTTGTATATTATATTACTTCAGGCTCACTTCCCAATGCTTCGAAATTAATGTCAACATGCTCATGCTTCTCATTAAATGAGCCAATGGGATGGCACGAAAACCACAAGTATTCCTAGGCACGAGGGAGGACGTTAACAATTTGAGCATAGTTCGACTTATTTACTTGTTAAATTTTGAGATTTCTCCCAATTTTAAGGATCAAATGTTTCCATGGACGGACCTCGGTCATGTGAGATTTGCTTGTTGAGCTAGACCAATGAATATATTATTGTGCGAGTACATAATTGATATTCAATGAGCTAATCCAGCAGACGCATTCAAGTTTGACTCAAACTTTGATCCAATTAGCCAAGCCCAAGGTAGGATCATATACTTGACTATTAAAGATTAGGTCGACCGAATTCAAGTCCATACATAGCCTCAAGCTTGTTGAACTTGGGGATTAGACCGAGTTTATAGGGCTACGCCGGCCCAATAATGAGGTTGAGACCGAAATGTTACCATTCCTGTCAATGTGTGTGTTTATATATATGTTTTGGCATATTTGATTCCAAAACCTGATTTCACAAGAATTTACACATTTTAGCAATAATTGAATTTGTATGTTTGGTTTCCTAATAGATTTTTATTTATTATTATGATTTAGCACAATTTATTTGTATTTGTTAATTTTTCTTTTAATATTTCTATCCATTGGGAGGTTAGAAAATATTGGTAGAATCTAAGTCGTGGGTATTTCATCACAGTATAAATAATAAATTCTATTAAATATATGTTTAATAATTTTCCCAAAAATCATATTGTTTAGTCAAATTTTAAGTATTACAGGCATTCCTCTTAACCCTAGATCCAACAATTGGGCACGCAAATTTCAGACAGAGCCCAACAAATGCAAATTCACCGGATCATTAGCTGGGTTAGGCCCAACTAATGTACGAACGTCAGGCCCAGTAAAGCCCAGCCCATTCAATGTACGGACGTCAGGTACAGTAAAGCCCAGCCCAACTAATGTACGAACGTCAGGTTCAGTAATGCCCAGCCCAATATCGCGTATGCTTTTTTTAGGACACCATTTTGCATTAGCTATTAATAGAAAGTAATTGGTTCATAATAGTAAATCACCTTAAAACTATTTTTTTTTAAACATCTTTAAATTAATCCTATTTTAAATATTTATATCCTTGGACAAGGGTTAAATATATATATATATATATATAATTTTCTGTAATAATTTCTAAATATTTTTACCAATATACTTATATATATATATATATATATAGATAGATTTATTTATTTGTCGAATTTTGAACATGAAAAGGTCGATGAGAAAGGAGGAAATCTCGAAACGGCCCCTGGCGTTCTGATATCATTTTTCTATTTTCTCATTCACGAACTCACACATAGCTCGCCGCGGCATAGTACAATCTAGAGCTAGAAGAAGAATCGGCGAACAATTCCACTCAATCCCGTCGCCTATTTAGATTTCTTCTTCGTTTTTGATTTTGCATTTCCCAATCACTTATTCAAAGGTAAAGTTCTGGCAGTCCCCTTCTCCGTTTTCTTTCTAGTTTGTATTTGTTGGTTTTGTGATTTCACTAGAGTGTTGATTTCTTTTTAAGAACATTGATTTCTTGTTTTTTACTATTTTTTTTCATCAGATCTCAATTCCTTGTTTGCTGATGTACTCTTTCGATTTTGTAATTGTTAAATGTTTGAATTGACATGTTGAATTTTGAATCGTGGCTTCGTTGTCTCGATTTTCAGGGTTCAGTAATTACGGAACCGTCGTAGGGTGCTTTTTTTATAAGATTGCATCGAATACTAGGTTTTTGTTTCTATGTTGAAAATTCTTAATAATTTGTGGCGATTTGGATTGTTTAATGCCGCGACGGAGTTGGCACATCACGCCGGAATATGGCGTCTGTGTTGCGAGGATTCCGGTTCTATTGTAGGCGTCATCAGGAAGTATAGTCAAGTGCAGTAATTTTACGCGGCTCTCACACTCTCTTCTATATATATGAAGTGAAAGAATGAGTAGAGGCGCTTCTATTCTTGTCCGAGTAATGATTAGTTTGGGCTCAAGTCCTATTCTTACCTTACCTTCAACTGTAAATTTGATCTGTTCTTGTACATCAGTTTTACTGGAAATTTTATAAAGTATGATAGAAGTTGAGCTTTTTTCTGCATCTTGTATGTTTTGTAAGTTGAGAGAGAGACAGATAGAGAGTTCTCAAATCTTTGCTAACACTGTGTTTAAGCTACTACTTATTGATCTTTGATGTATATCCGAAGTCAAATTTGCACTCCTTCCCAGCATATTTTGTCAGTAATTCAGGACCATTTCTTGCTAGTTAACTTCCCACTTTGGTGATGTTGAAACTAAGGTGTCAAAGCTTCTTAGTACTTCAAGCAGGAGACACTGTCTAAAAGATTCATGATAACTCATCTAAGTTGATGTTTGTGGTTAGTCATGTAGTAGAGAATCTTTAGTTTTGACGTTTGATTTTCTAGAGACCAAAACCTGGGAAGGACATGGTGGCCATGTGGTCATAGGCTCAAGACAAAATGTTATGATGCTAAATGTCAAATGATAGTATTAGTTTCAGAGTATGGATTTTTTGAGGGCTTGATGAGTTTTGTTGGGGATTAAAAAATTTGTAAATTTATAAAGTAATATCCTGATATAGTTAATATGATTTTTCTTTAAGCATCATTTTCATGTTCTTAACTTCCTCAGTTGTTACAACATCTCATATATTTTGTATGCTGCTTTTCAGGGCATTAGACTTCAAACTAATGGCATCCAAGTTGACTCAGTTACAGTCCAAGGCCACTCAAGCATCACAATTTGTGTTAAAGCATGGGTGTTCCTACTACAAGCAATTATTGGAACAAAACAAGCAATTTATTCAGGAGCCACCTACAGTGGAGAAATGCAACCAGCTTTCTAAGCAATTATTTTACACTCGTCTTGCCAGGTCATAGTTTCTACACTCTCTTTATCTTGGTGTATTGTCTGACGTTATCGTTTTGCATCTTTTTGCAATTAGGAAAGAGTACCCATTCTTCCTATAATAATGCAGGCCCAAGTTTTTCTTGGTCTGTTGGTGAAATATTGTGCTTAGTCATTTGTGTTTTCTAGTTTCATTTTGTCAATACATGTTTTTCTACTTGTTTTTCAATCTTACGTTTTTCTTCACAATATATGATATCATTCTTCTATCCCATGTGACTAGGTGAATATAAGCCTCCTCTACAGCCTTTCATCAATGTAGTTTCTGGCTTGTTGAGTCCTTTTTTAACCATTTAATTTAATTTACTTTTTATGAGTATAAATGTTGTGTGGTACCATGGTGCTGCGATCATTATGAGTTTGTGTCAACTGTTTTAGAGAAAAAAAAATAAGTAAATTGACGGCAGTGCTGGCTCTAAACTACAAAATCCATGTCTTCCAAGATTTGTAATTACATGTAGCATTGTTCCTAGATTTACTTTATGCATAGGATAACATTTAGAGTTCTTTGTGTGGAACATGAGGCGAAAAGAATATCATTTGACATTCTTTTCGACATGCATCTTATTGATACAGTATTCCAGGCCGATACGAATCGTTCCATAAGGAACTTGATTACGTAAAACAATTATGGAAGAACAGACAAGAGATGAAGGTGGAAGATGCTGGTATTGCTGCTCTATTTGGTCTGGAGTGCTTTGCATGGTTTTGTGCTGGTGAAATTGTGGGAAGGGGTTTTACTGTCACCGGATACTATGTCTGAGGTTGTTTTCCTTTGGGAAAACATGCCACTTAGATCATCCGTAAGTTTGATTTCCTGCGACATTGTGGTTTGTACCATTCGAATGACATGAATTCTGCATGAAATTTTGTTGTTTTTCTGCAACATTGTTCTGGAAAGTTAGTATTTGGTGAGAGGAATGAGTTTACTTCGTAATAATTCATGTATCCAGGGTAACTTGGATGGATAACAACGATGCTGTTGCTGCTTTCTTTATAATCTCCTGCAGACTTTGCTTCCTATTGAGTTCATACCCTCTCTTATTTTCATCTTCGAACGTATTCACTGTTAAATTTAATCCGACATACTGAACAAATTTATTGAATTTTTGTAGCACAGGACTTGTTAGTCTTCATCATCATTTAGACAAGACTCATGAGCATTTAGAGATGAAGACTCATTTGGGTTATCATCATTTGGTTTATTGTTACGTCTCCCAAAAAGTAAAATAAGAATAGAATAAAAATCTCTACCATTCGATCTTATTAGAGTCTCTTGTTTCCTATCAAATCATCATATATATATAAATCATAGAGATGATATGAACTCAAATTCAAGAAATCACTAATAGAACATGACATTTGTAGGCAAGTCATCGAGAAAATTGGGTAAACAAATTGCTGGAACAAATGATGAGCCAATAGACAAATTTTGTGTGACTTCTTCTCTTTCATTACTAATCTCCTACATACTGGCGGACAATGAAGTGAAGCATTCCCATCCTTGCAGCTGAAAAACTTGGTAGGGTTCGTTCTTCCCATATTGGTAGAGAAGCAATGGAGGCATTCTTAAGATGGTTGGGAAGTATAAACTATATTTTGTGAGTGCTGTAACCTGCATCTTCTGATGTCAAATTCTCTTTCCAATTCTCAAACTCTGATCCACCAAATACCAATTGTTTGATTCCAACGTAGCTGATTTGTCAACATTTTGGAGGGCCATAAAAGTATATCAGCAATTAGTAAACCAATACCCATAAAGAGCTCATATGAGAAGAAGAAGAAATGCAAAACCCAAACCCAAAAACAACTGATTTGTGTAAGAGGGTGAAAATCCAGTGATGCTATTGCACACTTCACAGGCAGCAGATAATAGGAAGAGCAAAAGTGTTTATATTTGGAAACTAAATTTGGGAAAGAAAACATTAGAATGAAGTGTAGTAGGAACTTACTCAGAACTAATCTGGGTTAATGCATTTATCAAAATATCTAGAATCAACGGTTCGCTCGTCCCGATATCAACCCTGTGCATAAAATTAAGTAGATCAATGAGAAAGATTATATGAACACACCTGTGTCATGTTAATATGAACAGTAGATCTCGACGTCGTCATCAAGGAAATTAGACTAAGAGCTATTACCATATGCGAGCCAAGTTGTCCTGAACCTCAAAATCCCCAATGTTATAAAATGTGGTTGGAGTAACATTGGCTCCCTGAATAGCGTCATAACTTGGCCGTTTATCCAATGGAGATTGAGAAAGCTGAGGAGATGAACTTAAATGAGCAACGATGACTAATGTGATTCATTTCCAAGTAAAATCATGCAAACCCTTTAACAACTTGGACAGGGCATAGCTAAAGAACATAAATGTTGGGTGAGATATTGAAGTTTACCTGCATATTCATGGAATTGCATCCACCAAGACGTCCAATGATGTGCCATGACCTAATGGTCTATGAACAAAAATAATAAATCTAACTCACTCAAGTTCTTTTAGGCAAAAGCTAACATAAAAGAATCAAGAACTTACATCACAAATTAAGGTGATATCTTTGGCCAATGGAGTGTTGTAGAATTCAAACCATATATACGAGTTCGAGAAATCGAATCTGGAAGAAACATCGACAAATCATGTCCAATTCAAGACTAAAGGAGATAATATATATGAAATCGAATCATGGTACCATAAAAAACATTCAACCAAAAGTTCTCATAAGTTATAGAATAGATAGTTCATCACTAGGGTTCTCTGTTTCACTGCCTCAGGCACAATCACATGCATTCATCCATGGACTACACGTCGTAGAATTTAGCTTACTTGTTGAATGTAACTTTTACTGGAACGGCTGATCCCGTTTTTGGCTGCAATATCTTGTTCCTTTTCTTCCTCAGCCTCTCTTCCATCTACAATTTAAACACAGAAAGCTAAAAACGAAAACGCTTCTAATGAATACTGACGCGTGTTCATCTACATATTTCATCTTAGATCATCATATTTGCACTCCTATACGAACCCTAGCACATAAACGAATGACTCAAAGAGAAATGATTGCCATTAAGCAGCAACGAGAAGTTCAAGTCGAAAATGTCCACTTAATAGTTCAAATGAATGCAATATGTTCAAATAACATAGAAAAGGCGACTACAAGGAAGAGATAAGAAAGCTTTACTTTGGACCGAAATTTCTCTGGATCATCAACACTAGTTCCGATAATTTCAGCGAACTCAGGGTCTCGATCGTAGTCCTTTTCCCCTTCTCTTCCTCTAAACCCACTCGCACTAAAAAATCCATCGTCTGCATCATAATCTTCGCCTTCTTCATCCACCACTTCGATTTCACTGGACGGGATATTCTGAGTTTCCGATTTTTGGTCGCGGCTAGATCTAGTCACGTATTGGCGCAGCTCAAGCCTAGGAAAAGAATTCCGGTGATGAACTTTACAGACCGATGATGGATGAAGGACATGGTTGGCTCGGCGGGAAATTTTAGCGTCGATTGTTCTGATCGGAAGATGAGGCGGCGTGAGAATACCGTCGGATAACTGCAAGACAATCATTTCGTTGTATGGAAGCAATGGACGGATTCAGAACCAGCAACGATGAAAGTTTGAAGATCAAAGGTTCCTGAAAATTGAAAAGAAATGGAAGTTCGAATGAACTCGAAAATCAACCGGCAAACGGCGCGGCCGCTGCTGATTTGTCTTATCCAAATGTTCCTGAAAATTGGTCCTTACGCAGGCTTTCAAATGGGCTTCGTTTCAAATGGGCTTCATTTCAAATGGGCTTCGTGTAAGCCCAATACTCAGCCCACTAAGAAACTAATGCAAGGTTATTATTATTATTTAAAAAAAAAAAAAATATATATATATATATATGATTTTTATTTTAATTAATTGTATCAAAATTTAAGGTTTTAAATCTAAATATTTCTATTTTAGTTTTTTAAATTTAGATAAAAATTAAAAAACGTATTTTTTAAAAAGAAAATAGCCTAAATTATTATGGAGTTTGGGCTTAAAAGAACACCTGGGCCGCAACCACTACCAAGCCCAATGGTGGATAACACGTTGATAAATTGGTACGACGCTGAAATTAGGGTTTTTAGTACCATTTTTATTGTACCCTTTCATCTTCACTTCTCGCCTGCTGCATCGCTTCAACCCTCGCAAGGTCTCTCTCGATCTGCCATCTCTAGATTGTCTGAAGTTTCGATTTCTTTTCTCTAACGGATTGAAATTGATTTCATCTGACATTGTTTGATATCAGGTGTAATCGAAGAAGCCGACTGCAGATATGGTTGAGAAAACGAAGGGGAGGAAGGAAGAGGTGGTCTCAAGAGAGTACACCATCAATCTACACAAGCGTTTACATGGCTGGTACAAACTCTTCATTATTTTTCCTTCTGGTTTCCATTCCGTTTGATTGAGTAGTTTATCTCATTCATCGATATTAATTGATGTCATCTCCCGCTCAATTAATTTATTAAGCTACTGTTTGATGTTCGTCCAATATCTATGGCTAGCGATTTTCAATTTCTTATGCTTTGAAACTAATTTCTTCGTTATGAGACCTTTTTTTTTTTGTTTCTCGTGAATTAAATTGTAAGATTACTTGGCGTGGTAAGTTAACGTGGTTTATTTGTATACATATATCAAGACTATGTTGATTGTGAAGCTTGTATAAGATAAGAGTTAGGGGATAAAGGATAAATTTCATCGTGGAATTTCATTAAGAACACGCATCAGCTGATCTAAGAAATGTAGAATGCAATGGTAGTATAATGCCTGTTTTGGGTATTGAAGATGTAGACGAGATTAACAAGAGTAATGAAAGCAAGATTTTGGAGAATTTTTATGCAAGTTTATAAGGCAGAAGGTCAATTGAACTACTAAGAAGATGAAATATGGGTAGTTTGTTATGTAGTGTGAAATATTGGACTAGTGGTCTGGTGGATGGTTTATGTGCTGTTTCTTCTGTGTCTCTACGCAACTTTTCATATGTAATTTATAGTCTAGTATTTTGTGTTTGTATGTTTTTTGTTTCCCCCTTCATTGTATCAGTAGTCTATAGTCTAATTCCAATCATTTTCCCCTTTCGCGTCCAATTTGAATCCCGAATTCGTCTACAATATTGCTACTGTAGCAACTGCATAGTTCTCATGTTTGCTGAAACTTTAAATGACAGCACCTTCAAGAAGAAGGCTCCTAAGGCCATCAAGGAGATAAGGAAGTTTGCAGAGAAAGCAATGGGAACGAAGGACGTCAGGGTGGACGTGAAACTGAACAAGCATATCTGGAGCAGAGGAATTCGAAGTGTTCCAAGGAGGATTAGAGTTCGTATTGCACGCAAGAGGAACGACGATGAAGATGCAAAGGAAGAACTGTATTCGCTTGTTACCGTTGCAGAAATCCCAGCAGAAGGTTTGAAAGGATTGGGCACTAAGGTCATCGATGAAGAAGATTGATTTCACATACCCATTTGCCTCTTTATCAGTTATTTCCAACTTTTGGCAACATTTTTGGTAAAAGACTTGAGTTCTTCATTGTCCCATCCTTCGGTACATTTCTTTATTTTACTTCGAATCCTAGCGGAATCGGCTTTTTTTTTTCTTTTCTTTTTATAATTTATAGTTGTGCTTGCAATGGTTATCGTTGTAGTATCAATTTTACCTTTCACTATTGAACTTGCTTCTCTTTTAAGGATGAACCTTGATAGTAAATCATTATAAAACTCGAGCTTGTTCGGGTCAAAAAATGAACTCCAGATATAGTTTCTTCAGGGAAGGAAATGCATGAATTATACGAGGTTCATGCAATTTTCAGGTAGCTTTATAAGAATACATATAACCTCTAAGTTTTCTTATTTCCTCGGACGATTCGGCCAGCAGATGATCAACATACAAACAGATTCCAGCCCCACTGCATTAAACTGAAGCATATGAACTCCAAAGTTGATATTCAAGGTGAGATAATCATATTATCATTTCCAGAAACTACCTGAGAGGACCAAAGGGACGCCAGATAACCTCCCATCGAAACCTAGGCAATCTGCATAATCAAAATACAACATACGTTCCAAACTGTAAATTCATCCTTGTAAGGGCAATCAATCAAAGAATGAAGTAATATATAGAAACATATCAGCCCTCTAGATAAATAGATTAAATTATAAGTTTAGTTCATAAGCATCAAGGTTGTATTTGTTTGGTCTCTCGACTTTAGAAAGTCCCCAATAGATCCTTGAAACTCATTCTCATCTTTAGTTAAAAGCTTTGTGTAGAACTGAAACGTTGAGGTTTAAAAGGTCCTTAAACGTTAAAGTTAAGGACCAAAATCTCAAATTTCAAAAACTAAATTTGTAATCTAATTTCTGTTATTGAATATTTTAGCAACATGTACTTGCATGCATATATGAACTAAACATGAAATCTCCACATTGTACTGCTGCTATATGAAAATGGGCATAACAGTCAAAACAGAGCATTTAGCATCCAACAACAAACGAAGAAAATAGAGAGATTTTAATTGCGGAGTCAAAAGTCATATCCTAAAATCTTTCATTTGGTAGCAAAACTTTGATAAAAAGATTATGAAATTTCTTACCATACCTCATCATGAAATATAACCAGAAAACTGAGAGTAGGATGCTGACAAAGAATGAGCACCAAAGCCACCGCCGTTGGTAACTTGACTTGCTTACAATCCCAATGATAGAAAATGAACACGCTAAAATAGCAACCCAATCTGTAGAATTTCGACAGTTGACATTAGCAAGATCCCATGGCGTGAAAGCATATATATCATCAAAAATAAAATTCTCTTCTATGATCTTTGCGGTGGGCTTGAATTGTTATAAATGGTATCGGAGTCAGACACTAGGTGGTGTGTTAATGAGGGACGCTGGACTCCAAAGGGAGTAGATTGTGAGATCCCACGTTGGTTGGATAAGAGAACGAAACATTTTTTACAAGGGCATCGAAATCTCTCCCTAACAGGGCGCTTCCTCTTAAAAATCTTGATGGGAAGCCCGACAAAATTCAAAGAGCACAATATCCATGAAATGAAAGTAATGAATAGATTTGTAAGAAAAACCTGCAGCTATAATCATCCATGATTCAACATCCTCCATGAAGTAAACATGATAACGCTGCATAAGGGGAAAAATAAGCATAAAAGGATGGAGCCAAGAGCATAAACTCAATGAGCCCGTGACTAGCAGCATTTAGAACCAAAATAATTAAATTGGAATGAAATTCTTCAACGAAGTTTAAATTCATGAAAACAATTGAATTCAACAAAACGGCATACATCGCAGGACAAATCGATAAATCTCAGCAATATTAGCATACCAGTTCAAATGGAGAAGAAACCTGCTGAACGATTGAGTAAAGAAGAAAAGCCACAAAGCAAAAAAGAAATGCCGCAAACACAGTCTGACGAACAGTCGATCCACAGAGAAGAACAATCGACATGAGAATCCCTAATCCTCCACTTAAGAACAAAATAAAATTAAATAAAATCCGCTGAATCATACGATACCCTCCATAGAAGACTCTGTTGATCATTTGCCCTTTCGAACGAACGAACCATCTCCTCTTGCACTGTAAATCAAACGCCGAATAAGAAATTAAAAAACGCCAGCGAAAGTACTCCGGAGAGGATCGATTACCTTGGCTGTCAATGGGACAGAAATCGTCGAAGGACGGATCATCCCGAGAAGGACGCGACGCCGCATCTTTCCCCGATTTCATCCAAATTCTACCTAATCTCTTGATAGCCATCTTCAACTCAACGTCGCACGCCGCGATCTGGCTCTGCGTTCTCTTCGCGGAAGAATGCCAATATTGAAGTCCAATAGCGGGAACCTGAAGATTGAGCCTCTGCCATCGTCATCCACGAAACGCAAATGCCATGCTTTAGCCTTTGGTTTATTACCGTATTTTACCTTAATTTATACTATATTTTCTCTTTAATCCATCTATTAATTAAAATCTTCATATTTATAAGATTAATTAATAATATCATTGAAAATGTTCTAACACTGAAAATATTAAAAAATTTTGATTTAAGATACAAAAATATTTTATATAACTGTAATTATTAATTATTTTTTAGAACCAGTCGATAAATTAGTTGGTACTCATTTTTAATTATCATTTTAACTATCACTTCTGTATTAAATTTTTGTTAATTGCATTTAATATTTTTTAATTGGATAATAAGCTATTTAAGGATAAGGCCAATAGCCATAGACAAAGTTTCGACCTTTTTTTTCTTTCTATTTTTAGAAAATTAATTGTCTTTTTTTTTTTCCTATTTTTAGAAATTAATTGTCTTTTTTTTCTATTTTTAGAATCCCTCGACAACTTGAGAGCAAATATAGGCTCTAAAAGAACTCTCATCTTATCACCATATTTCCCTATATAAACACTTCCATTAACACAACCGAATAAACAGCGTAAAGATGTTTAATCTTGGATCGCTTGTTCTTTGGCTAGTTGTAATTTTATCTTGTTTATCTTTTTGTACGGGAAATAGTGTTACCTATGATTCAAATGCCATCATTATCAATGGCAAACGACGCATTATCTTCTCAGGTTCAATCCATTATCCACGTAGTACCGATGCAATGTGGCCTGATCTTATTAAAAAAGCTAAAGATGGTGGACTTGATGCAATCGAGACATACATTTTTTGGGATCGTCACGAGCCTCAACGACAAAAATATGATTTCTCTGGAAATCTAGATTTTATCAAATTCTTCCAACTTATTCATGATGCGGGACTTTATGTTCTAATGAGAATTGGTCCTTACGTATGTGCTGAGTGGAACTATGGAGGTTTTCCAGTATGGTTGCACAATATGCCGGGAATTGAATTTCGAACAGACAATAAAGTTTATAAGAATGAAATGCAAACTTTCACGACAAAGATAGTGAATATGTGTAAACAAGCCAACCTTTTTGCAACTCAAGGAGGGCCAATAATTATAGCTCAAATTGAGAATGAGTATGGAAACGTGATGACACCGTATGGAGATGCAGGAAAAACATATATCAATTGGTGCGCTCAAATGGCTGAGTCTCTCAATATTGGTGTTCCATGGATCATGTGCCAACAAAGCGATGCCCCACAACCTATGATTAATACATGCAATGGATTCTATTGTGATAACTTCACTCCTAATAACCCGAAGAGCCCAAAAATGTTCACTGAAAATTGGGTGGGATGGTTCAAGAAATGGGGCGAGAAGGACCCTCATAGAACGGCAGAAGATGTAGCATTTTCTGTGGCTAAATTTTTTCAATTTGGTGGGGTGCTTAACAATTATTATATGTATCATGGAGGTACCAACTTTGGAAGAACATCGGGAGGTCCATTCATCACTACGTCTTATGATTACGACGCCCCCCTCGATGAATATGGAAACTTGAATCAACCTAAATGGGGACATCTCAGACAACTTCACGCATCAATCAAACTTGGAGAGAAGATTCTGACTAGCAGCACTCGCTCGGATCGAAACATTAGTAGCTCTGTGACCTTAACAACATTCTCCAACCCAACAACAGGGGGTAGGTTTTGCTTTTTGAGCAACACAGATGCTAGCAATGATGCTACCATAGATTTGGAGGCAGATGGAACATATTTTGTACCGGCTTGGTCTGTGACCATTCTTGATGGTTGCAACAAGGAGGTTTACAACACTGCAAAGGTTAACACTCAAACATCTGTATTTGTGAAGGAGCAAAATGAGAAGGAAAATGCACAACTCTCTTGGACTTGGGCTCGTGAGCACATGAGAGATACTCTACTAGGAACTGGTACATTTAAAGCAAACCAGCTTTTGGAACAAAAAGGATTTACTGTTGATGTTAGTGACTACTTGTGGTACATGACAAATGTTGACATCGATCAAACGTCTTCCCCTCGTGATGTAACTCTTCAAGTGAATACAAAAGGTCATGTGCTTCATGCTTTTGTAAATAGAAGGCATATTGGGTCGGAATGGGCGAACAACGGTCAGAGTTTTGTACTTGAGAAACCCATCTCGTTAAAATCTGGAACCAACACGATAACCCTTTTGAGTGCCACAGTTGGACTAAAAAATTACGATGCATTTTATGACATGGTGCCAACTGGAATTGATGGAGGTCCTGTTTATCTAATTGGAAGTGGGAATGTCACAACCAACTTGTCGTCAAATTCATGGTCTTACAAGGTTGGGTTAAATGGAGAAATGAAGCAATTTTACAACCCGACGTTCTCTTCGAAAGTAAAATGGAGGCCATTTGAACACAAATCTATTAGAAGGCGAATGGCATGGTTCAAAACAAACTTTAAAATCCCATCCGGAGTTGACCCAGTAGTGTTGGATCTGCAAGGAATGGGAAAAGGTCATGCTTGGGTAAATGGACAAAGCATAGGTCGATTTTGGCCTTCTTTCATTGCTGGCAACGATAATTGTAGTGAAACTTGCGACTACAGAGGTGCATATGAGTCTAACAAATGTGTTGGAAATTGTGGGAATCCTTCCCAACGATGGTATCACATTCCCAGATCGTTTCTATCGGGTGACACAAATACCTTAATTTTATTTGAAGAAATTGGCGGAAATCCTAAACAGATCTCGGTTCAAACCATCACTATTCAAACTATATGTGGACATGCTAACGAAGGGAGTACCTTAGAGTTATCTTGTCAAGGAGGACGTATTATATCTGAAATACAATTTGCTAGCTACGGAAATCCCGAAGGAAAGTGCGGGTCGTTTAAACACGGGTTATGGAACGTGGTAAATACCCTTCTTCTGGTGGAAAAAGCTTGCATTGGTAAGGAAAATTGTTCAATTGATGTAACTGGGGAGTCGTTTGAAATTAGCGATGCTACCAGTTCATTGGCATCCTTGGCCGTTCAAGCATTATGCTCAAAGAAATGAAAAGTCTATAGTAATTACTAATAGGGTAAAAAGTCTTAAATACCCCTAATAGTGGCATGTCTTCAGTGGTAGAATGGTAAATATTCACCATCTTGGAAGATTTATCCCTTCTCTTATTATATGTAGAGATTGATGGAGCTATTGATTCATATCAGTAAAGTTACAACTTTACTTTATAATTTAAATTAACATAATATTAACGTTATTATATGCTCCATTATGATGAGTTTGTATGTTATGTTCCACTCTTTAGTAACCCACAAAATGAAGCTAAAAGATAATAATTTTAATACAAATGAAGTTATATTTAATAATTTTAGATGTGTTTATAGTAAATTTAAAAACATATTCAAAAAGTTGTGTAATTATTATTTATGATATAATATCATTAATTTATAACTATTCATACCCAAAATTTGAAATCTAAATTAGGGATATAGTCACATTAACTACTTCTCAGAGGTAAGGTGACAAAACCCGTTATTATTATAGTCAATCTAAAACATGACGCATTGACCAAAGCCATATATCATCTCCACTAAAAAAAAAGAATTATGTCTTAAAAAAAATATATATATTCTCCCCTCCTCTCCACTAATCTCTCTCATTTACTGGAATGGCAGATTTAAGAAAAGTCTAGACTCACATTTACTAGAAGAGAGATGAATTGAGAAAAGTCTAGACTCCATTTACTGTAATGGCAAAGAGTAAAGAGTGATCTCGTCAATTTCTTAAGGTATATATTAAATATTTCTCTTTTTTTTTTATACCAATTTCATCTTTACGAAATCACAGCCAATGATATTTTAGATCCGTGAATTGTTGCAATTATTTAAGCTGTCAATAATCTTATATGAATTATAGTAAAAGAATAAACAAATGAATGGATTAAATGGTAGGGTTGGATGTATGGTACTACTTCACACATGGCCCATGTACGCGTACATGGACCCACCAGGTGGCCTCGTATACATTTCTTTGGGCTTGGCTTGGTTGGACACAACGTGTTACACGTCGCCAGACACCACAGAACAAAAAATGGCCCGCATGATATCATAGCGAACCTAAATATCGTAATTCATTCTATCGTAACATAAAGGGGAATTATCCCGATGCAAGTGATATATATAAATATCGCAATTCATTTCTTCGTAACATAACAGGGAATTATCCCAAGTGACATACATAAATGCATGAGATCCCTTAACATATCTAACGTGACATTACATAAGCATTGCTAACATTGCATATACGTTTCTTACATTCCAGTTGCATAACCATCTTATGACATGACTCGATAATACTACGTGTATCCATGGCATCGATCAACATTTTTCATGACATATAATACTAGCAGATTAACCATCTTTTCATAGCAAAAACAATCAACAGTCAACATCACCCATAACTTTTCATAGTGTAAACAATCAACAGTCAACATAATTCATAGCTTTTCATAGCGTAAACAGTCACATAATCCATACATCATATAGTCATCACAATAAATATGGTGCATGCAGGGGCCACAAGGCATGCACCATCATACAACACGTAGTAAGTCAACTCCAACAGTAAGGTCACTTACCTCGATGGCTTTAGTCGAAGTCACTCACAGCAAGCTAATTCCAACGGTTAAATACGTCCTATAATAACCACATAAAAACTTAGTAACCTTTCATAACATACCCTAACTAAATCTGATGCTATTTATCAAAATAAACTCCCAACACAATTTGTGTTATGAACTATAATGACCTCAGATGGTAAAACTAAGGGCAGAAATGACTTCGGAAGAGTCGAAAACCTTGAAATCGTATATTATAGTGATACTGATCCGATAAGCCGAGCTAAGCCGTGAGTACGCGTGTGAAGCCGCCAGGTTCTTTGGACGTGCGCCTGTGGAGTTGGGCTGCCGATGGAAACACAGCTCGTTACTGTTTGGCCGAATTGGAGGTTGAGCGTGAGGCGGGTTACCTGTCC